GCAACAAACCGCGTCGTTCTAACCCTCGCGGTTCCCGAACAAACGTCGAAAAGGCGAAGTGGTACGTTTGAAGGTCCGGGGGGGGTCAACGGAGGGGCGGTCGGGGTGCGAAAGGCGCGTCGAAGAAAAGACTCGATCGACTTTCCCAAAATTCGCCCTCTCCTATGCCGCTCGACCGCCGTAAATATTTTTTATCGACGATCATTCCCAATCTCGCGATCGGGTCCGAGTGTCGTTCGAAAATTCCTCCCTCCCGAACCCACCGGGAGAATTGGTCGTATGACGCGTCGTAATCCGTCCGACGTTCGGGTCCGCATTTGAGCGATCGTAAGTGTTTCTTAGGTCGTCTCGTTTCCGCGGCGCGAGGGATAAAGCGGAGCGACGTCGATAAGGGCAAACTTCGCGCCCCCCTCCCCCCCCCAACGGCCCATAGTTTTTGAATGGGACCCCGTACGTCTCACGCGGGACGGTCGGGACTATCGATCGATCGCGTTTCGAGGGGGGGAAGTAGGGCTACTTTTCGAGCAATTTCGCTCTCTTTTCGCTCCCGTTTTCTCGTGCGCGTCCTCCCCCGCGGGGGGGTGTCGCGACTTTCGCGATCGAGTACCTCGAAAGCCTCGACCCTCCTACCCCCCCTATCCGCGAGCTCGATTTTTCCAGTTCGACGGGCGACCCTCGGCGAATTTTTCTTCGGAGGTGCGATTTTGGGGGGTGACAGCGGGGGGGTGAAGACGAATTTTCCCGGGGTAGCGGCCCATCGTAAAAATCGCGGCTTCGGAATTCGAGGCTCGTGTAAAAATTTCGCGAAAAAAGCTTGGGCCGATTTAAATTTATTTTCGAAAAGGTCGAATTTGAGTTGTTTCCTTATTTTAATTATAACTGATCATAAGCTTATCTGATTGTATGGGACAGATTCCAACTGTAGTAATGCACAATCACATTTTTTCACAATGTTCTAAGAATCTTATCTTATCTCCAATCATTGGATACCACAACCACCAAGCAGTTAAACACTCTGAACTTCTATTAAAAAACCAAACAGAATTCAAAATTGTAAAACGCAAATCTGTTGGTAATTCAGAATAATTGGTTGCCCTATTAAATTAGGGAATGGCTTCTGATTATTAATTACTTAATACGCAATTCATAAAAACAACAGTAGGTATTTCCAAATGACTTTTCCGTAAGGATCAGAGTTACCTATGTATTTATTCAATTTATTTATTCATTACCTATACAAAAATGAAAAATGCTAACTTATATGGCTTTAGAAGGAGTAAGTATATTGCCAATCAATTATGATCGAAATAAGATACAACATTATTAGCAATATTTCATGAACATACTTTTAATCAATACTTTTCGAAAAAATTTCATTTTCAATGATTTAGGTACCTATACATGGTTTAATTTTGCATTGTCTTTTATCAATGAAAACTGCTTTGTATTTAGAAAAAGATCATAACCAAAACACAGTAATGCTTATAATTTCATTTAAAAAAATCCGGAAAAATATAACTTTGTGATGAAAAGAAATTGAAAAAGGGAGATACCACACGACAGACGGTTCATTTTGCCGCAAAGCTATTGCGTTACAAACGAGCACAAAATAACGAGTAACCGAATTTAAGCCGATATAGTGTGTACTTAGCAAAAATCTAGAAACGAGATAATTTCCAAACTGCATGTTTGGCACTTGACTTGTCCTATATCCGTTTAGGATCTTTTGGATAAATATATTATTATTATTATTTTGCTAGCAACTTTTTTAGAGCATAAACCAGCACAAACGCGACACTAAACAACGTTTTGAGACTTGTGTCGATAAATGTGTGCGAAGTTAGCAGAACATTCAAAAATCGAAATAATTTCCAATCGGTATGTTTCTACCTAAGGGTTAACTTTAGCGAAAATTTGCTAACTACATTTTTTGTAGGAAATTTTCTTCTCTTTAATTTTGCTTATCATATATTTTTTCTAAAAATGCACAGTTTTCTAGATACCTACGGAAACCCGTTTTTGGCGGTCATCTTGGTAAGACGGCGGCGCCGGCGGCAAGTGTCGAATTATGCATTTTGTAAATTTGAGTTCTACGCACTCACACACACACATTCAAAACTTCCCGAGTTATTTCCAGATAAAAATCACCAATGACTGGCCTATTAACAGAACATCTGAAAAGCGAAATAATTTCCAAACGGTATGTTTTGCTGGCAAACTTTTTACGGCACAAACCAACCCACCTAGTCTCGACATTTGTGCCTTCAATGTGCTGCTAACTTCACGGACCCTTCTTTTTGCGCTGGTGTCACTATTGCCTTTTCATTTTCGGTAACATTTTCTTTATTACTAGATGTCACTATTGCCTTTTCATTTTCGGTAACATTTTCTTTATTACTAGATGTAGAGGAGGCCGAGGAGGTTGTATCTTGGTAATAGTTAGGATCGGCAATACTATCGTCAGAAGAGACTACATCGGGACGGTATATAATTCTCGTCTAATTCATCCATCTTGGTTTCTTGTACACTACTGCATTCTGCCATCGGATATGGTTGATCTTGTGAGGTTGTGTTATCGATTGGATTTTCGTGAACATCTTCGCGTTCTTGTTCATATTCATCGACCAGCGGCACATTTTGGAGCCAAGTATATACTTTTTTTTGAAGATTCTTCTTCCGGGACATTACTTAAGTTAGACTACCCCGTGGTTTGGAGGAGAAACATTAACTGTTTTTATTGGTTTCCAAATCTCTTGTTCTCCTTGCACATTTTCGCCCTGATTTTTTACTAGCTTATTATGGTTGATCTGAAACTGCAGACGTATTCAAATGCCGAGTAAATCAAGGAAGCTGTCATAATTAAAATAAAATAAATAAAAATAATACGACATAATAACAATTCGAGTAACAAGCTCGTAATTCTTTACAATAGAAAAGTGACACAAATCGAAATAAAACGTCAACCGTTTAGCCGAGTAGATTGTAACCGGCTGGTTACTTTCCAACTCTCTTTACCGTCTCTTCTTAAAATCCTTTATTTGGGGGTGGTTCTTCTTATAAACATTAAGGGTTGTTGGGCGCCGGCTAGCCTCAGTCGATAATTCTTCTGGCCTCAAGGAGAAGGGAAAGGATAAATAAATAAAAATCAATAATCTTTATTAAAACCTGTTGGGTTCTTTTTGTCTTAGAAATCGCCTTTTATCTGTAAGTAACACATGTTAAAAGAAATGGGGGTGAGGCGGTACACACTCCTGTGAAAATAAAGTTAACTCATTCATACACAAAAAGTCACTGCATATAAAGGAAAACATGTATTTATTATGTGAATTAAATCAAAGTATTTACTCTCAAAACCGCCGAGTACAGAAAGAAAATTAATTCGTATTTCATAAATTCTTATCCACTTTAGTCGAAAGTCAACACAAAACTGCTGTAAATGCATGTAGTAACGCTTCCAGGTACGAGTCGTTAAAGTGAATACAAACAGTGCTGATAAGCACTGAATTGAACGCAACACTAGTAGGTAATTTAAATCGCCCTTACAAACATACCAATTTATAAGTTTTGTAATAATAAAAATACTACAACGAAATAATAAATCGACCACGAGGCGAACTACAACGAAATAACAAATCAACAACGAGGCGAACTACAACGAATTATTGTCTACAAATACCTCTAGTTCATAAGTGCACCAGGACTTGGAGGTCACTTTGTCGCACGATCGATGTGGAAGTCGAATGAATTCCGACCGCCCACTGCAGGCTGCTATTCGCTTTTCAGTTGGACCAATCACAGGCAGGCTGGTTTATCTTGATCTCAATTTGGTACTCTCCAGCTGGATTGTGCACGTACCGACAACGGAACACCGACAAGAAATTCTCGTCTACAGTAGTCGGGTAAATTCCAAAATTTCTTCGGCGCTCTGTGAAGAATCGTTTTCGTATTCTGCACTGGCTCGATGGAGATGATTTCACTCGGTTCTTTTGCTTGCTTTTCTTATAAAAGTCGCCTTAACGCTTTATTAATCTTCGCGCTTATAATTTGCGGGCGCGACTGACATAGATGTTGCTCCGTAAAAAGGCGGCGGGCAACTCCCCTCTGGTGCTTGAAATCCCCGTATTTATACTTTCTCACTTTGTATCCACTGACCTCAATTCGCTTTATCGCGCAAACTCGCACATGTATAAATAGTTTGAACGCCCGTGACTTAAGCTTTTGACACTTTGGCAGCGGTAGAGAATAGACGGATTTGAATCGCTCTACTAGCTCTCAATTAATTATTTACAATGACTCGGACTTTGACCTTAGCGTTAATACTCGTTATTTCTATGCAGTTTTGTACCCTAATTTACCTATTTACATACGATGAATGCAATTCTATCTACGTCGCGATATTGGAATGGAATGCATACTCAGCTACAATAACTTGAAATAAACAATTCGCCTTTAAATGCATTCCAATTCAGTCACATCATTCATACTTGGGAGTCATGATTACATTTAGACTGGACACTTGAATCACGTAAAAATAAAAGTTTAAATAAGCTGTACAGAAATACTGTTACAAGATTAACAGTCGACTTACCTTAATCATCAAGAGTGTCACAATTCTAAATATGTCACTTTTGTTAATAAATGAATCACACTTCTCAACAATTTGTTTTATGTCGCTTTTCTTAATAATTGCCACACAAACTCTTTCAACAGTCAGACATAAAATCTTCCAGACATTCCCCTCTTTTATGAAAAATGACACAACTCCATCTATTGGTTTAATATTGTAAAATATTTTGTGACACTTTACCACATAAAAATATCATCTATTGTAAACCAATAATGATCAAAATCTCACTTTTCCTTTGCATAGGCGATATGTAATGACTGATGACCAAATAAAGTATTCAACTTTTTTTAATAAATTTATTTCATTGTAATAAAAACAAAACTTCAAAGATAAAAGTAAACACAAAAAATATTTCGATTTCATACTCCTTATCCTAAATCATTTTAAGCTTAACCAAATACCATACCATTCTTAATTTCATGTGACATGGTATTTAAACAGATTATAATCTACTTGTACTGTTCTGTTGGCAAGTATAGTTCTAAGCCGCATGTGTTGCCCTTTGGATGAGGACAAACATTATGCAGAAACTGTATAGTTGGTTGAGTTATAAAACTACAGGGAGGGATGCGATCTAATGCCGTGCAAAAAATCATCTTGTAGTGTATATGGTTCCTCATCATTTTCTAAAAGTAATTAAAATTAATTGTGTGTATTTAATAAACCATTGTTACCTGCACAATCCATTTGTAGAATGTCCGACTCCGAATTGGAAATTTTGGATTGGGTGGAGGGGGTCCACTCACCACCGGACGTGCGGACTCCGGGAGAGGTGCAGCCCCAACCGGCGCCGAGGAGAGTACGGTCAGTGGGGACCCAGGCAGGCCCACCCGTCGTCGTGTCCGTGGATCATAGACCCGTGCAGAGGACGGAGCAAACGACCGCCGCCGAACACCGCCCAACGAGATGCCCGTTGCCAGGGTAATGGGGGTGCGCATTCCGGCCTTAGCGGGGCACATGTGTGGCTGTGCGGACCACTGGAGAAGGGCCTGCCCGGCGCCGCAGGGTCGGGTGGTCTGCTCCAGGTGTGGAATCATAGGACGGTTGTCCCGAGATTGTCCGGCCCGGGGCCCGTTCGGGCATTTCGCGTTGGGGGGCCGCCGTAATCATGTAATAAATAAATTTATCAACCGATTCTCCGAGAGTTTATGTGTCACACTTGTCCGCTACCGGTGTTTTAAAGGTTAACGTCCCGAAAAGAGTTGGAACTCTTTTCTTTCCGAAGAAAGGGGGGTGTGTAACGAACCATCTGGAATTTCTACATTTAGTTTGCCGTTCATGAGGACCACCCTGTGGTCTTCGTTACGCAAGAAGACCGTGAGCTCTAGCATTTTCCGCGATTTTGGAATTATTTTTTTGTAACCACCGAAGAATGTTATCCTGGAGAAGATGAGGAACAATTAATATTTTTCTGTTTCAGTGCCGTTAATTGTTTATAAGCTGTTTTAGTTTCCCATTATAAATAAAAACGAGTTCAAATCGAGTTGTTGACAAGTTTTGCAGTCCAGACCGTATTCCTGCGTGTTGCGATAAAAGTGGTAAAGCGATAGCGCTGTTTGAAAGGAAAAGTGCAAGGAAGCTAGTTGCAGATTGGATTGATGAGTATTTAGGTTTGATTGCGCTTAATTAGGTAAGCACTGTTAATGAATGCCAGGTTAATGCGCGGCAGTAAACCTTGTCAGAAACCGTCGAGAAAGGTGTCCACAGAGGGGCTGTAATTTTTCTAGTTGTTTGCAAGTTGTTCCAGATTTTTAAGATAACCACAGGAGGAGTAATTAATTAAAAACCGAATTATTTTCTATCGCGCTCGGTGCGAAGACAGGATTTTCCCTGTTCCACTTCTACCAAAATGGGTTTCCTTTAAAAGGTAATCGCTCAATTTGGGAAGGATCTTTTTTGCTTCATACTTTCAAGTTGTAAGTAAGTAAGAAATTCGATTGAGAGTTCTCCACGAAGTTTTCGAATCGTGCCAACATCAGTCAATTTAAGATTTTTTAGTTTTGTTTATAAGAGAAAGGCTTTTACACCTGGTTACCCCCGTTACGTTACGGATTGTCCCAATAATGGGTATCGCCATCCAAAGAATTAATGTTTTTGGCAGAATTGCTATTTTCCAGGACCGAAATGTTCTCCAACGTATGTTTCCAAATTTATGCTATAAGCCGTTTTTCAGTCCGCAAGAGCAAATGTTTTAATACCGTATTTCGCAGGATTACTCGGAATATACTGGCTAAAAGGACATTTTCCTCTAAATGCCAAGAGTTGCTCGTTTAGTGTGTTATAAATTCTGGAACACAGTACAAGCTGTTAGAAAAAGGTAGCTATCCGAAACTCAAGTCTGTTGTGCAGTTCATATCACCCCTATTTTTGACCAGTTAAGTAATGCTGCAGTACTACAATAGATGGTAATGAGCTTTTCGAACGTGCCACAGACATGTAGGTAACTACTTATTTTTGATAGAAACGGCAGGGATTAAATATCAATAAAGTGACGAAATTTATCGGTTAGTGCTTGTTCACAATGGACATAAGCGTAACAAAAACATAACAGATACATAAAACATAATATTGACATAAGATATAATTTTACGCAGGTGGAGAAAGTGTTCACAGTGACCGTAAGATTATAATTATCTGCGTGGGCGCAGATCCGAAATTTAAACACGGCAAAACGTCAAGAACATAGCAATATTATTTGTGGTGTATATGTGTGTGTGTTACTGAAATGGAAATTTCATCGGTTTTATTGCTTTTGCTGTTAAGAAGAGTTGTTACAAAACAAAAACGGCGTTGGTAGGTCAGACCTATTAATCGAGAGCGAGAGAAAAGGGGAGAATTTAAGCGATTGTGTCTAGAAATGAAGCTGCATGAAGAAGAATAGTTTTTTTCATACACCAGGATGACTCCAGCATTATTCGATCACCTTATATCTTTTGTCCCCTTTATTAAACAAGTAGGGTTTTAATAGCACCAAACTAATTAGTAATTCGACCTCTATGTTTTCCATGTCGTGTTGGATATAATCAAAGAACAACACACGAACGACCAAACCACACCAAACTATGAAATAATGGGCCAAAAACTATGTACCTACCAATTTAAAAATAACCAGATTATGTTGGCAGAAGAGATATCATCGAAGTTAGACGTAGTAACTGAAATGTCAAACCATCAGCGCAATGCTGCATCTTTGTACTCAACAGAAACACCTAATTCCACTAGATTTTTCATAAAATCTACGTAAAGTTGAAACCGACACAACTTTATGTATTTTTTATGTATCGTTTCGGTACGACATAAAAGATACGCAAACATTTACAAAAATATAAAAATTATGTAATTATTGTGAACACATACGTTGGTTTGCTACTATTCAACATTATGAATTATGTACCTGTTATGTTTTTGTTACGCTTATCAAGTCCATTGTGAACAAGCACTTAGAATATTTATGTTCGTAATTTGTGCGTTTTTTTTTGTACCAATAATTTGATCTCATTTTCACATAAAAAGACTAACGACGTAGCAGTGTTTGAAAAGTTCAGCAAAATATTTAACTTTCACAATACACAAGTTGTACTGTACTACAAACTTTTCAGAAAAGTTTACAATTTCAAATTAAATAAAAAGTTGAAAAAGTCAAAACGACAACTTGTATCGTTTATTTCCGTTTTGTAAAGGATCTACTGAATCGTAGAAGGCGCTCTCCCAGAAGTTTGGACGCTAATGTAATAGAGATCATTTATTGTTATTCTTTGGCTTACTTAAGCCTAACTTTCGTAGGACGACCTACCCTTATTCGTATTTATGATAATTGCAAAACGTTTAAGCATGTTTTCGTGCAGTATATGGAATAACGAGTCAACTAGCGCCCATACACTAAGGAATGTACACTTGTCGCTCCTTTCGCTACTTCGGATGGGAGGAACGGGAGCGCGAATGAAGCATGTGTGAGTAACAGCCCCCCCTCCCCTCCAATTTTGAGATGCGAGCCAAAATCACCAGAGACGATGATCACGTCATCGACATAGACTAACACATTGGGTTGTAATTTTTTTCAATAATACGTGGCCATGTCGCCGGTGCATTCGTTAGCCCAAAAGGCATTCTGCAAAATCGGTTCAAGCACGGTAAAAGCAAAATGGTCTCAAAGATGGAGCTATTCCAACTTGCTAATATGCGGATTTGATATCGATGGAGCTGAGGAAACAGGCGTCTCGGTAGTTAGTCTAGAATCGTAGAAACATAAGGGATAGGAAAAGCGTCCCTTAATGTGACCGAGTTCAACTTCTTATAGCTTTTATAATATAAACTTATTTTTTAAGAAAAAAATAGACAATATGGCGATTTTCAGTGGAATCGGAGATATCCATGGTGTGACTCAATGGGGTAGTGGACCATTTCCTGATCGTCGGATGGGAAGATTCGACCACGTAACCACGTTTTTCTCCGAAAAAAGGAAAAGGTCAACGTGTTTCATTCCTCCGACACCCCGAGGGGATACCGGAGGCGGGCTGCTCGGGGTTTCCTGACCCTCTTCAGCCAGAGATCGAGAATGTAAAGATGGGTAAAGTTAAGGATGGGAACGGAAGGAATGGAGTTAGGGTGCCGAGAGGGAAGAGTACTGCTCCAGCATTCGCCTCGTCGATTTCAAAGCTACGTACGTCTGAGAAAAACTCACAAAATCCAAGACAGAGCGGTTGGCAGCGGGAGTCGAATCCACAACCTCCCGAATTGCAGTCGGCAATGCAACCACTGCGCCTCCGGCTTCGGTTTTCCTCCGAATTAAATTAATTTAAAGGTACTTCAGCGAGGGAAAAGTACAGCACTCGCCAATTAAATTTGTTGTCGTAAACAATTAGATAAATGCATTCTACGCTCATTTTTAAAGAAAAACTTACATTACAAAGTAAGAATAGGATGTCCAATTCGGCGATGCGCTTTCATTTATAGAGTTTATTTTTGCAGTTTAGAGCGAATACTTGTATACTTATTTCTCAGCGTGTAACAATGCAACGAAATGCAAATTAGGAAAATGATATGAGTTAGAAGGACGTAAAACTAAATAAGTAAAACATGTGGAAAATATGCTTTGCTCACGAGGTACCAAACTAAGGTAATTTGTTTTGCTTTTTCATGAATAATGTTTTAGTTAAATCAACCAGATGTTAGTGTTAAGGATATGTACAATAAATTTCTTCTTATTAAAATCGAATGACAAACTTATTTCCCAATGAGGTATTTCAAAAAAGTATTACCTTTTCAAGGCAAGGGTAAAACGGTTAAGTGACAATTAAAAGATCACAATTATAACCTCTTTTCAGAAATATACGTATAAACTGAAGGTCTCGACCCCCTTTCTCGTTCTTAAATTTGTATTAATTGACCTCTATACAATAGAGAATTGAGCTGCAAACGTGTTTTGGTAAACAAGAGCAATTTATGTTTCCAAAAGGTTTTATTGCGTTGGGAAGGGACTAATTTTCTACGTAACAAATACAGTTGACGTTAAATGTAAATGCTACCCTACGGTGCTCGGTTCAATTGGTGGGAATCTACGACGTACTTTTTCGTAACTAATTAGTTACGTTACGTTCCGTCAATGTGTTCCAATTACGTTCAGAATATCAAATCTCTTCTTTTGTGATTGTTTGAAAAAAATTCATGCCGTTGAAGGCCTTAATGAGGCATTCGCACATTTACGTTGCGCAATCGTCATTGAATGTGATTCTGGAAAATTTTCCCTTGAGAGAAAAATTCCTTTTAACATAGAAACTCATTCTCGTTTCATCAATTGCATTAATTTACTAACAAATTGAAATAATTCACCGATATCGCTCTTCTACCAATAGAATTTCTATTTAATGCTTCAAGTGAAAACTAGAATTATTATACACTTTTAAACTGAAAGATTAATTGTAAACTGACAGTATAACTATTCCAAAGGAATTGATGTATTTAATGCGTAGTATAATAAAAAGTTTCATTCATTGATGTTTGCGTCAAAGTATAAAAGTCAAAAATTATACGCTTCTTGCCAAGTTTATTGTAGCGCCCCCGAATATTTTCGTTTATTAGTCTGTTTGTGAAAAATGTTAAATTGCACTTATACTATTACTTTTTATTCCAGTGTTTCTGGTAAGTAAACATTATGTCTTG